TTTCTATCCTCTGGAGGAGACTTAGACTTTCTGTTTTTCTCCTGAGATCTCCTCTTAAGTATTGGAGACCTAGATTTCCTTGTCTGATCTTGAGACTTACTTCTCTTATAAGGACTTTTGGATTTCCTCCTTTCTTTTGACTTGCTTCTAGTAGTCTTCTCTTTGACTCCATCAACTCCTGCCTTGGCTTTCTTTTTGTCAGATCTGTGCCTAGTCCTTTCCTTTGATTCACTCTTACTTGCTTTCTTGGAACTAGTTTTATTGTCCACAGGTTCTAATTTCCCCTTAGTATTTGACTTTGCTGTAGGTCTTGTTCCATTTCGTGCTTTTTCATTGATCTCCCCCTCTTCTTCAGATCCTGACTCATAACCTTGTAATATTAATCCCATCCCAGACTGGACTTTTCCTTCCATTAATTCATTTTCAAGTTCAGCTTTCAGCAATGCTCTTTGTTTTTCTAAGTCTTCCAGAGGAGCCAAAAAATCAATTTTAGTTCTTTTAGCTGGTCCATCTTCTTTGTCAGAGGCATCAGCCACCTCTTTCCATTTATGTTTCTTATGTTTGTGTCTGTGTTTATGTTTTTTGTCCTTGTCATCTTCTGAAGAATGTTTGTGTTTCTTGTGTTTACTTCGGTGTTTGTGTTTCTTTTTTTTGTGTCTGCTGTGCTTGTTCTGAGGTTGGTCTGCCTCTGACACTTCCCCATTTTCTTCATTCACACTTTTCTCGGATGCCTCAGCATCCTCAACCCTGCAAAAAATAAAGAGATCAGTACTATAAACTCACTGTAATCCTTTATCTCATGTTAAATAGACAGCCTTTTATGACAGAAGCTAACTGGCATTTATTCACCTCCTTTGGGAGAATTAAAAATGTACCACTAATTTAAGTAAGTTATAACAGCAGATACACTTCCTCAGGAACAGACAGTTACGGCTGCAGAAGGAAATAGTACGGAAAGAACAGACAGCAAATGCACTGACAAAATCAAACATGTGGATGGAATCAATGCTAACCCCTTTACACTCAATTCTGACCTATCTGTTAACAGCATACAACAGTGCTGAGTATTTCTTTGTCAGTACATCATCATCTACGTCACTTTCTGCTCCACTCCAATGCCCAACCCAAGCTATGCCTTTTACAAGTATTTTCAAGTGGCAGAAAACAGTTGTGCTCCAAAGATCACAATTTATTTCAAGGTATGATGCTGACCACCTTATGAAACCTTCTTGCAAAATCTCATCCAGAGCTGACTCTCTTAGCTGCAATTTTTTTCTCTAAGTGTAAACACCTGTTAGGAAATATAAATCTTACAGATTTATATTATTTATGTAATACAGAAAACACTATTGAGGAATGGGACAAATTAAGGGAGTCTAATTTCAGAGCAGCTTTCTGATAGTATGCAGCAGATTAGTAGCTTCTAAAAAATGTGGCAATCTTGACACCTGTAAAGTGCCATTGACCAAAGCAGCCAAAAGTAAGTCTACAGCAGGTTATTAAAATAATGATATACAGTGTTTCTTCAGAAAGTATTTTCAATTAGTGATAATTTCTTCAGATAGTAACTTTATAAAATTCAGTCCTGATGTTACATATTCCCTTGTATTATCCCCCATAGCCACTGAAACTGGCTTAGCAAGAGGGGTTTTTACAGTGTTGAGCAAATACCTCCTGATCTCCTTCAGAACACCAATGAAGTTACTGTCTGTTAATACAGACATCTGCCTTTTGAAATAATATTACAGGTGCCAGAGCTCACCTTTCTACAAATCACCCCATCTAAACAACAGCTTTGAAATTTACTAGTTATCACTTTAATAACTTAAACATAGCTCTTTGCTGTATACTAAGCCTCATGAGGTGAAAAGAATTCCCCCAAACACGACAGCCAGGGGTGAATGCACATAGAACGTGGAAATTATCTTCTGAACTCTACTGGCTTCAGTTGTTTCTGAAGAATATGATCAATCATCTGATCCAACAAATGTATCAGAGACATTCTAAGCCAGACCTAAAGGACAGCATCTCGCTATGAATTTGTTTGGTGTCTTTCTAATTAAGGACAGGATTTTCAAGCACTGCACATTTACTCTCTCCTGCTTGAGTTAAGGCAAATTCTTGTACTAGTAAATAAAGGTGACTTTTCTGCAAGGTACATGAAAATTATTGGCTAAAATTATTTGTTAAAACTTTAGTGCTATGAAATGATGAATGTCCAAAAGGAACAAACGGTTTGAATTAAGAATATAAAATATTCAGAGACTTAACTCAGAACGCTGCTTGTCTTTTATGTTTTTATTACTACTTCTGTTTATTCAAGGCACACAGAAAGGTGTTTTTCTCATTTGCTATCTCCTGACACTCCACACCATTATGATAAAATATCAGAACAAAGGAGGAAAAACTGGCTTAAAAAGAGCTTATTTTATCTTGCACTTGGCATTATAAAAAATTAATAAAAGAAGTGTTAAATGCAAAACTTCAACTTGGACTTGCCATCCTGAGCAAGTCTATCTGTGCCACAAGTGGAAAAATGTGACAATGAGAATTTTATGGGAACTATGTGCCCCTTAATTTTCTTTTAGCTGGGATCCAGGATCCTGTGCAAATCCCCAGTTAGCACATTAAAGGTACTTTAAGACATTATAAAAATATTAAATACAATACAAATCACATCTGCTCAAGCTGTTCCAGGTAAGTCTTCCTTCTCTTAACAGCACAAAGTGACACCAAAATCTTTAAGAAAGTAATTTTGCTGTTGTATGTATTTTGGAGTTGTGTAATAACCTCATCTTAAGTTCTGGAAAAGCCAGCTGGCAGCTAAGGTGCCAGACGAGACACATCACCACAGCAGCATCTCAGGCCACTACAGGCTGCCAATACAACTGCCAGCTGTCTTTGTAACTCAACTATAACATTGGATTGATTAACGTGCAAGAAACAGTTCAAGTTCATCTACAGGGATCTATTTATTTCCAGTAATTTCATTAAACCGTGGATAAACTTTTACTTCTATTAAATGCTTCAGAGATATAATGACATGGATGAAAAAGCTTTGTAAGAATATTTCAGAAGGTGATGAGGCATGTCTACATGTTTAGGTGCTAATGGCTTTAAACAGGAATTGTGACATGAACTTGTTACAGCCCTACTTTTTCCTATTTTTGAATTCAAAGAGAAGAATTACAGAAAGTTCATAAGGATGTACAGTGATTTCACCCATCTTTTCCTTCATACAGGGTTCCTATCATCAGCTTCTACCTCATTACTTAACTTTCTCTCTACAATACTAAAAGCTATTCTTCATGTCCATGTACTTTACATGGCTCACGTGTACTCCCACTGCTCTTCCTCACCCGTCTTCTACTCCCAGGATAAACAATAAAATCAAACCTCAAATCAAAACTCTTTAAGGAGAAAAAGACACAGACAGCAGTTTACATGGCTATATGGCTAAAATATTAATGTGTAAAGAGGAGCAAGCATTAGATCGTTAACTCTCAGCAGAATTTCCAGAAGATTCACGAGCTCCTGAGCGCGGACAAACCCAAACCCCACGGCACAAACCGAGGCGCCTGGAAAACACCCGCCCGGGAGCCCCGTTCCGGCAGAGAGGCGGCAGCTCGATCTTCGCTTCCCAACGGGAGCCGGGACTTGCCAGTCATTTCGAGGGCTGGAAGGAGGGGCTGGCGGCAACAAATCACTTTCTGCTTCCACCACCACGGGCACTCTCTCCACCGCGAGAGCGGCCGGGGCCCGGGGGAAGGAGGGTTCGCCGCAGGGCGGGCAGCGCTCGGCGGCGCCAGGGCAGCCCCGCGGCCCCGGAGCCCCGCGGCCCCGCTCGGAGCGGGTGTGTGGGGGCGTGCGTACGTTTGAGTGGCGTGGGGGATCCCGGGGAGCGCCGAGGATCGGCCTCAGGGATGCCCGCGCCCTGCGCGCCCGGGCGGGCAGCGGCCTCGCAGCCACGCGGAAGACGCGCATCCCTCCGTCCCGCGTCCCTCCGTCCCGCGTCCCCGGCGCGGGCGGCAAACCCGGTTCGCGGGCGGCAATCCCGGTTCCCGGCGGCGGGAGCACCAGCAGGGCGGGAAGGCGCACGCGGGACTCCCGGGGACACGCGCCCGCCGCCGCTTCCCTTTCCCCTCCCCCCGCGCGGCCCTCCCGAATCCACGGGCGGATCCAGCGCCCCGGACCCCGCAGGGCCGCCTCGCCGCGGGGCCAGCAGCCCCTACAGCAGCCCCGCTCCCCCGGTGCGGCCGCCTTCCCTCGTCCTCCTCTCCATACCCTCTTCCTCCTCCTCCCTCACCACTTCCACCCGGGCCGCTTGTTGTCGTTCCCGTCCCGTGTGTGTATCCCGCCTCCCCAATCCCCTCGTCCGCGCTTCTCCCTCCACCTCCCTTCTCCTCCTCCCCAAAGCTCCAGGGCGAGCAGCCTCCCCCCGCCTCCAGCCAAGTCCTTACTCGGGCGGTCGCTGCTCGGGCTCGGCCGCGGCGGCCATTTTGAACTTCCGAACTCCTTCGCTGCCGCCGCCGCCGCTGGGAGGGGGCGGGGGGAGACGCGGAGCCGGAAGTGAACCCCGCGCGCGGGGCCGGGAGCGCGACGGAGGCTCCGCCCCCCCCGCCTCTGGGGGCGGCCGCGGGGAGGCGGCGGCGGGAATGATCCTGCCGGGAGCGGATCCTGCCGGGAGCCAGCGGGGTTGCATGAGGTATTAGTAGGGAGGTCTTCGCCGTGAGGGCCCTGAGATAGAGGAACACGTTTCCAGAGAAGCTGTGGGTGTCCCATCCTTGGGAGCGTTCTGGTCTGGAGCTCTGAGCAGCCTGGTCCCGTGGAAGGGTATCCCTGCGCCTGGCAGGGCGTTGGAACTGGGTGCAGAGGAACACGTGTCCAGGGAAGCTGTGGATGTCCCATCCTTGGGAGCGTTCTGGTCTGGAGCTCTGAGCAGCCTGGTCCCGTGGAAGGGTATCCCTGCGCCTGGCGGGGCGTTGGAACTGGGTTTGGGAGCGCTCTGGTCTGGAGCTCTGAGCAGCCTGGTCCCGTGGAAGGGTATCCCTGCGCCTGGCAGGGCGTTGGAACTGGGTGATTTTTAAGGTCCCTTCCGACCCAAGCCCTTCTGTCATTCTGTGGGCCTGTTGAACGACGTCGCTGCGGTTAATTCGCCTTTCCGGGCTCGGCCTGGCTGTGCCGGGCTGCGGGGAAGGGCTCCTGGGGCTGGGGCAGGGCTCCTGGGGCTGCCTCCCGCACCGGAGGGGACAGCTTTGTCACCAGCCTTCCCGCCTTTTAACGTGAGTATTAGGTTTAAGATCACTGCTGCCTGTCTGCTAACGGGAGCTTAGCACAGAAATGCCGAAACTTTGCTAACCTGTATTTCATTTTTAATTTCAACAGGTGATTTGAGCTGTCTTTTATGGCGTCATTTTTCTCATGCAGGACCCTCCCTTCTTTGAGATAATCGTAAAATCTGCAGACATCCCTAGGGCTGGAATCTGAATGTCGTTGCTCCCCAGACTTTGGATAATACACTAGAAATCATGAAGCGGATTTTAACTCTTGTTTATTGTCTTTTCACAGATTCACAGACTATTCTGAGTTAGAAGGGATCCACAAGGATCCTCGAGTCCAGCTCTTAAGTAAATGTCCCATAGGGGATTGCATCCACCACCTTGGTGTTACCAGCTCCATGTTCTGACCAACTGCAACTCCTGAAATGTAACAAATTTAACTACAAATATTGATGTGTTCTTTCAATGAACCCACACATCACCATGAGGGCATCACAATGTCCCAGCTGTATGCTGCTCTGCTTGAGGATTTTGAAGGCCAGATTGCCTGGTCTGGTGGAAATATTTCTGGTGGAGATACATAGGTGCAAGCTCTGCCATTTCACAAGCAGGATCAAAAGTAAGATCAGGAGACACCTGGTTCAAATCCGTGAAGTTGATATGGCATGTCGAATTTCAGGCTGTCCTAAAATGGACCAAGGTAAAAGTGAGCTTTGGAGATGAAAAGAATGAAAACAAAGACAATCTTGAAAAAAATTACTCTCTTGTTGCATGTGTGTCAGGTGCCTTAAAATAAGAGTCCTTGCTGCTGTGGCATGAGCTCAAGCATAGTCCTCATGCATCACTCCTGAGAAATGACCACCTTGTTTGGAGAAGTAGCAGCTTATTTTCAACTTGAAGAACCCTGCAGTGCTGACTTCTCTTCCATATTCCAAGAGAAAGGACAGATAAACCCAGTGTATGCCTCTTAGCATCTGTCACGTTTCCAGTGTTAGAATCCAGATATTTGCTGGGGAAATTAAAAGTCCCTAAGGCTCAATCAAGGTGTAAACATCATAGGAAAATCAATTGAAAGCTGGATCTAAATGCTCACCTCACCCTATGGAGGGTGCTTGTGCCTTAAAGCTGGGTTCTGAGAGAAGCAGCATTTCTGAATGTGTGGAATGTAGCACTAGAGCTGAAAGATGCTGAGAAAATTCATTTAAAGGGCCGTGATGTGGATCGTGGCTTTAAATGTGTTTATTGTCACATGACTGAGTAGATCTTAATGGAAAACCATTGAAGATCACACATGTGAATAAAAGAAACCTTTCAGTGCTTCATCTGTGAAAGTGCTTTTATATCACTTTATAAAGTGCCTGGAAAGTGCCCAGAAACAGCCATCAGAGGAAACCTCATCTCAGTGCACATCATCTGGAACTGAGCAGATAAGCAATCTTCATGTAGCTTGCTTGGCATTATGAGGATGTGGTTATGTGCCCACACAGTGATTTTACCAGTAAGTCAGGTTTTATTTTTTGCTCTCATCTAGTTGCCTCCTCAGCTTAAGCTTATTGCTGGAAATAACTTTGTTTGGTCAATGCAAAATGTATTGGAGCTTTTCAGTATGGACTGTAAATGCTATTACCAGAAGCTACTGTAAAACAGCTTCATGCTGGTTTGAGCAAAGAAAACATAAGAACTGTAAAAATTCTAAAAATGTGTTGTAAATGTTCACATTTTGATGATGTTCATTCTGCAAAATCCTTTCTCATTTAATATTTTGAATTATGACTGTTTCTATGAGTAGTTGACCATCATATTCTAACAATTTCAATATTAGTAGCTTTTTAATGACTCTTAACATTACTGTGAAGGTACTTTTATCTAGGTGAATACCTTTTAGCTCTGCATTTGGTGACATTTCTTATAGCTAAATATTATCTCCATTTTTAAATTAAAGACCATGACTAGAATAATCTGTCCTAAATCATAAAAGGACATTGTTCCAGTATTCTAGTTGTGTTCCACTTTGCATTAACTACAAATCTCACTTTTGTACCAATTACACTTTTTCCCTCATTGCTTAAATAATGTTTCTGTTAGTAATTTCAAGTGCTTTGCCCTCCATAAAACTATGCATTTAGTGCTCACCTTCATGTCTGTAGGTAAAAATCTTGAATGACAGTGCACAAAGGTAGCCTGGGCGTTTTTCTGTTTAACCATTCAGTATTGCAGGTGGTTGCAGTGATTAATTGATTTTAGCAAGGTTGCCCTGGCTGCTGCTAGGATGTAAAGCAAGTTCTTGCTTCGTGGGTTGAACTACTGCTTTGGTTCTGATTGCTCAGTATGGCCAAGTGAAAGAAGAGGTGATTGTCAAATAAGGTGATGGCTCATGGGTGTGTGCTGGAGTTTGTGGCAGTGGTCAGGTAAGGAAACAGCCAAGTTTAGGAATGTGAAGGAATGGGGAATGACAGGGCGTCCTGTGGCGGCAGCCAGGCATCTGTGTGGTGATGTAGGGTTTAGATCAGATTGTGAAGGGTTTTGATGGAAAGGTTTAGATTGCATTACGAGTTATGCTGTCTAGTTTTGATGCCTTTGTTGTCTTTGGGATATATGGGCTTGTTCTGAGGTTTTTACTGCTTGACAGGGCGGGAGATAGAATTTTTTAAAAGGTTATAGCAGAATTTCTGCTATAGGAAAAGTAACAGAGAAAACAGTAATTTTTAGAACTAAAAGCAAAACAGGTTTTTTATTTGCTTCACTATGACTTACAGTGTCCTCTTAATTGTGACTGTAAGCCAAGAACAAGGCTGCAGTCCAATATAACCTTTTCTCTAAGGGGGTAGGAAGGAGAGCACATGGAAGGACAATTGAAATTCACAGTACTTCAAAACAGAGATGACTACAGCAGTGAAAAAATTTATGAGTACTTATACAAACTGTTGGTTTAAGTGAGAGGAGAACTGCTTTTTATTAACAAATTATAAATTGTCTCTTGACTGAGTATTTTCATTCCTTTTGGGTGGGAGGTGTGGGGATTAGAAATCCTTCTTCCTTACAACTATAGTGAGAAAACCTGGAACTGGGTTTCCTGAGATGCTCTTTTGGCAATTTCCATTATATGTGGGGGCGTTGAACTTTGAAGATTATAACTTACTGTTCATTGTTATGTTAACATGCAGAAAGTTTACTTAATTTTAGTTTCCTAGTGAAAAATGTAATAGGTTAAATACTTCACAATTTTTTAAGCTCTTCGTAGTGTGGAATTTTAATTTTTAAAAGATTTTTTTCTTAATATTATCACATTTTTGTGATAAATGTGAGCAAAGGAAACCTTTCTAAATATTTATTTAACACCATGCTAATTTCTATACATTTCTATACATTTTTGAGGAGCAAAAAAAACAATAAAGAAACTAAGAAATTTCAACTTGCTAATGTTTTTCAGATGTTTCATTCTGTTAAAGGAAGCTTTACTGTAGAGTTATACTGTTGTCTGCAGATTCCTTGTGCTTGTGGAGCTGGTACAATGAGATTCTTCCTGCTGGCTATGGGGATGGTTTTTGAAATAGTTTTAAGCACAGCTTCTTAGCACTAAGCTTGTGTTTAACTTTGTGTCAAGTTCTCGCTGTAATTGCTAACATTATTTGGTTCAACATGCTTGTTGTAGCTTTTAACCTACTTGAAAGCCTAACTGGTTAGTGGAAAGCAAAGTACAAATTGAATCTTAAATCTTAAAAAAAGAGTTCAGAAGTTGCTGCGAAGTTGAGTTATTTTATATTAAAAGATATATTTATATTTATATATATAATATATTTATATTTACAAAAAAGGGCTAGTGGTCTCAATTGCATTTCCCTTTAAAAAGAAATCATCTGTGCAAAACCTGCAACCTCCTACCACTACTTTTTCCAGACCAAATTTAGACTGTCAGCAGATGTGCTTAGAAGAAAATGGACACGTAAACGGTGTTGTGTCTGCCACTAAAAATAATCCTTTGAAGCTTGGGTATTCTGAAGTCTCTGTTCCTTCAATATTTTTCATATGCTCCATAATTCACAATAAAATAACTCCCTGCAAGCGCATATTTTGCTAACTCATTTTTAATTGTGGTTTGAAATCTTTGAGAGCTCCTTGTTACTGTGTTTTGGTTTGTTTTGGCTTTTGTTCTGTTTTGACATTGTGGATGCATTAAGGATTCTTAGAGCTGAGATAACCTTGGATTTGCTACCACAGTCCCCATGTCAAATTATGTATATCTTCATAATTAATAATTGCTCTTTCTTCTTAAATGCTGTGCATCTCAGCCAGATTTGGCCTCATATTGCCTAAATAACCACAAAATACTTAAATACTACATAGGAGTTCAGTTTGAACATTTATGTTAATAACTTTAACATGGATAAATGTATTTCTTCTATTTTAGATTAACGTATTTTATCTGGTTTAAGCTACTGCAACAAACTATAGCTTTTAATACAGCTAAGGAATGGATCAAGGTCTGCAAGCATCTGTGCAAGCATAGGTGCTGTTTCTAACTGTACTGAATTCAAGATGTGCAGTTATTTTTCTTTTTTTTTCTCTTTCAGTGCTAAATATTTGCTTAATACAAGTGTATGTACAAGTAAATTTGCTTTAATTGATGGAAGAAGGCTTTAAAACTCATTAAGATAGATTAGAACGGTGGTTTGGAGGGCAGGGAGGAAGGATTAGGAATTTCTTAGAGTTTGCTTGAGAGCACTCAACAAGGATCCCCATCTTTCCAAGGCAGCAGGTGGGCTGGGATGTGGCAGATGCATTGAGCTTGCAGCTGAGCAGCTCTTGCATAGGTAGAGGAGAAAAGACAACATTCAGTGCAGGAAATCTGGATGGCAGGACATGATGAGATGCTTGGGTTTTGAGTACTTCTTAGGTTGAGTTTCTGATGAGCTCCTTTTGCCAATTGATAATTGCTTGGTTGGATAACTAGCTGTTAGTTTAAAAGGAAATTCTGCCTTGTTAAGTATGTAGCAGCAAGTCTGTCTTCCTTTGTCAAGTGTTTCTTCATCTCAGTGAAGCTTTATTTCCATCAGCAAGAGGTAGAGATCCTTGCTTCATACAAGGAAGACTCTATTACCTTAATATTTTGTTGTTTGTTGTGTTGCTAAACTGGGATTGGGGATGCTGTACTGCTGAGAATGTCAAAGCTGAAGGATGCTTCGTGTCTGAAGCTTTTGTGGCTTTAACTTTATGTCCATGTGACTGAAGTAACACCAGAATTGTAATACTCTTCGTGACGACCATCTACGTTCAATATTCAGTTTAGATCTATTTTTACCCAAGAGTTTAGTCTCTTTCTGGTTTCTTTTTGGACATTTAATGATGTCAAATGTGCAAATCAACCAAAATGATTCAGCCAATTTTCTAGAAGGTATATGGGGAAAACTTCCTGTTCATAATGTTTTCAAGTAGAGCCTGCAAGACTGTGAATACCTTTTATTTAAAAAGCCCTAACAGTCCATGGCTTGAAGGAAATGTATAAGCATTTTTCAGCAGGTGTCTTCTGTTAGAACAGTTGGAAGGCCACATCCTGATGGAAAGATCTGTTGAGATTTGGCCTTTTCAATGTCTCTGAAAAATGCATTGAACAATGACAATACCTTACTGCAGGAAGCTAATTGTGACAGACTATTTTAGAGAGGCAGGGACAGGAACTAGGAAGACTTGCCAGTTTCCTTTGGCACCTGGCTTGCAAAGTTTTTTAATTCTTTTATAGACAGCATATAAAAGATGTTGGATACTGAACACCATTGGGGCTGGAAAACCTGTGAGCTGTTGCCAGAGATAAAGACGAAATGAGGAGATGAACTTAAGCAGAATTTTGCATGTTAGGAAAAGCGATAATGGGTCATGGCAAAGTGGGCAAATAGTAAAATAATAGGGAGTCTCAGAAAATGATAATAACTTGGACCATAGTTTGGTCTGAAGTGGACAGAAGGATTTAGTCTCAGACACGTAAATCAGCATTAAATTAACAGGGTGCACAATCACTTCTATTTACTGTTGCTGCCATTACTCAAATGACAGTTCAAGCATCAAAGTTTTGGGGTGTGTGAGTGTATATATATATATATATATATATATAATTCCCCATTGTGAAACCTGGCATTACTGTTTTAACTTCTTAGGTATTTTGATTCCAAAAATGAAACCTAAAACTTGTTGAGTGTTGAAAAGAAAACAAAATCATAAAAAAAAAATTAAGAGAACTCTCAATACAGGTCAAAAAGCCAAGCACTCATCTGTGTGGGTGGGTACACTTGCAAAATTTTCAATTGCCTGATTTGCCTGTATGCAAATTTCTGCTCCCACTGATCCTTTTGAAATTCGTTGTGTAGAATGGGTGGTGCTTCATTAGCCTTGCTTTATTCTTTAGAGAGCAGAGTAGATACACAAAAAACAATGAGATTAAGGTTACCAAGGCAACTTTAATTTTGGCAATACCTAATTTTTATTTCTTGTCTTGGCAACCTTAAGGAGTTGAGGTTTTGTTTGAGTTTTTTAATAACAGCTTTTATTTTATGTTGTGGGAAATATGTTGGGAATTTACCTTAATATACTAAAATAAATGACCAGAAATGCTGTCTTCTTCAGCAGAATGTACTGCTGTATGTTCTGAGTTACTAGGTTCTACATTGCTATACCCCATGAATGTGCCATACAGTGGCTATGTAAAAGTTCATATAGTTTCTTATTTATGAACTTTATAGTTCAAAAGTTTCTTATTTATGTCCTGTGACATACAGAGCCTTCATAGTTACTGGCTTCATCTCCATCACAACATCCTTACATGTGTTGGTGGTGTCTTGACTGAACCAGGCTGGTGCACACTGGATTGGAGAGTCAGGTAAGTGTTTATTTATGCTTGAATACAGCAAATGAGAAAAGCAGTAAGATTCTTAAATATTTTTTATCTGTACATGATCACAAAACTGGCAATTTATCCTCCCTTTTCTCTTAGTCACTAGAGACTCCGGAATGCAGCAGAATTTGTAATCTGATGCTTGCTGTGTCATCACATTAAAAGGAGTGGGCAATTTAATAAATAAGGCTTGGTGAGACTGGGTGAGGAAAAAGTCTTTAAATTTTTCTTCCTGTAAACAGCAGTCTGCTGAAATGTCTCACATGATCAGGTTCTGCTTTTTACAAATTATCTTCAGAGCTGGTACTACAGTTTTGAGATTGATTTATTTATATAACAATTAACATCAGCTTTTATATCTTGTTTGTAAACTTTTGGGAGGGTGGTGAAAGGACAATTTTTGGTATTTTAGTAGTTTGTTGCCAGTACAAAAGCAGTAATATACAAACTTGTCAGCGCCAAAAAAATTGAGTCAAATTAAATTATTCTATGCCAAATGATACTTCCATGGTTGAAAGTATTTAATTTACTCTGAAACAAACATCAGGTATCATCTCAATCAGGCTTTTTTCACCCTAATTTTGCAAAGTATGGTATATATTTCAAAGTGTATGCAGCACTCTATTTCTTAAGATTATATCTTGGTTTGACATTTCACTGATCTTTGTATTCGTCTTAACATAATTAGCATTTTATGTTATTTTAACAATTTTTCGATATTCATAACATAATGAAAATCAATTCCTTGTAGCATGGTAGCTGTATTATGTAAAAAAGCTGGTTGTTCTTTATCTGCATGTATTATGATCACTGGAAGTTTACCTGAGGAAACTTAGAAAACACAGGAATGCTAGAAATGTGCATTGTAGGATAAAGCTTTTATATGATAAATACATTGTAATCTGGTAAAACAAAGCAATTCAGGTCAAATGAGAAACCTGAAAATCATGTTTCTCCTTCCTGCATTGTCACTTTTAAAAAGAAAGGGATATTTATTGTCATGGCAAGTACGTGAAATCCAATAGTAACTTGTGAAATGCTGTCATTTTTATGATTGTAATTTGTGCTTACCTAATTTTTTTTTCTTTCGCTGTGCTGAGCAGTACTTTAGCAATTTTGTAATGCAACTGTGCATCCAGTAGTGATAGTCTGTATTTCCAAGAGATGTGTGAATGGCAGTTAAACATGTCTGTAAACCTATTCATTGTATTTGCAGTATATACAAAATAAAACAGAGCAGTTCGTTCCTCAAAATTACTTATCTTTAACTTGCATCTAATTTTGCCCCACAGGTTAAAAAACCCCAAACAACACAACAAATGAACAAACAAAAACCAACTCAAACAAATTACTTTTCTTGAGAAGCTCTTGTGTGTTTCACAAATATAGCACAGAATGAGAAGCAAGGTTTATGTTCTCTACAGCTTTGTCTTTCCTCACCTGAAATTTTCATATCTCAGATTTTTAAGTCTTTCCATCACTGATGGTATTTTAAAATATTGGTGTAGTTCATTTTGGGTTTCTTTTTGAATTGGTTTACTTAGCTTATTTCTTAAATGGCAATCCAGAGAAGAGTTGAAGGAGCATATGGAAAATTACAGAACTGCTTTCATCTTAATTTCGGGATCAGGTATTCAAAACCAGATATCAGTTGAGTGGACATCACAAGCAAAACCACAAATGGAAGAGAAGGAAGAAGCCTGAAGATAATCCTGTGTGTTTCAACACAAAAGCAACTTGAAAGAAGGATTCAAGCTAATTTAAATGTAGTATGTACAGTAAGTATGATCTGTATTATAGCAAAACTTGCTATTTTGTTTCTTAATTACAGATTGGTAATCTGGCACATCTTTTATTTGCTGATTTACTTACATATTTTTGTGAGAAAGTTGCTCTTTGATAGCCTGAACAAAAATAAAAATAGCTGCCTCCTACTTGGTTTGTGATAGTACCAGTCTTTGGAACAAATCAAGCATGTGCTGATCAAAAGGTGCAGCTAAGGTTTTTTTGGTGTAGTTCATTGCAGGCAATAACAAAGTACAGGCACTGAAATAGATTCTTTCAGGAGCCAAGAGAAATGCCATGAGACTTCTTGAAATGCTGCAAGTTAACTAGGTGAAAAAACAGCTTCCTTTTGGTCATGGCTGCATTTTTAAGAGGAACAGTAACTGAAGCACCAATTTTATCAGTTAATGTAAAATTCTACTTATCTGCACTTGTAAGGGTTAACACCAAGACTTTGCCTGACCTCAAGTGCGTCCTTTCTTCCAAAGAGATTTTGAGAAGGCATTTGATGCTTTCCTGTTATTCAGAAAAGATATCTTTTTCTTTGATAAAGAAAATAATAATCTCTAGCCATCACCTGTCCATGAGTTGACATTACAAAATATCAAAATCTGATAGCTTTTCTAATATTTAGGTACAGAAACTTGAGTACATCTCTTTCTCTGGGTTTCTTCTAAATATGTGCATTTGGCTGGGGGTGCTTTCTCTTTTTGTTGTTGTTTATGACCATACATGCTTGTTACATTGTCAGAAAACATTTTTGCAACATTTTGACTAGAGAAGTCACTTTCTTACTTTTACAGTTGTGTATCATAAATAAATTCAAATAATCAAAGCTTTTTCCCCAAAGGCTTCTTTGTCCCACTGTTTTCTAGGACTTAAGTAATTGTCTATACTGAATCTGGCTTTCCTCATTTGAAGTTATTGCTCATGTGGAAAATAATAAATACATGTTTTAGTAGCTCTCTGAAATTGGTATAATAAAAAGAAAGCAAAAATGGAATTTGGGTTCAGCTAGTCAAAGGCCTAATTGCCTGAAGTGGGCTAGAGCCTTTTTGTTAGTAGGTAGGGAACAGACCAATGTGTTGATGGTGTACCTTGCACATAGACATCTGCCTTCTGGGCTTTTTTTAAATCAAGTAGTCAGTTAACAAAACTTACCACTGTTTTAAGTGGCAGAAGTAAGCACTTACTTGCACATAGACATCTGCCTTATGGACTTTTTAAATCAAGTAGTCTTACCACTGTTTTAAGTGGCAGAAGTAAGCAGTTTAAATTGTTACATTATTACAAGAGTTACCTGTGGAGTTGCACTGGAGTATGACATCCCGAATTTTATCTGAGGTTACATTTGGAATGTGATGTCTGATGTATGTGCTACAGCTCTGTTTTGAAGGAAAAATGAGCTTTTATGGGCTGGGTTTCTGGAGCTCTCCCTGGAAGAGGGAGATTAAGAATTTACTTGAACTTTTTGTACCTACTTTTGATTTGAGCTTTGCTTGACTTCTGTACAGCAAAACAAACTTCGTGTCAACACTGTTCATTTCCTACAGTCCCCCTGAGGTGCAAACTCGTAAAATTGGCATTGGCCGTAGTCCCAGCCTGCAGCTGTCCTGTAATTCTTTCCACTAAAGGCCCTGTTCCCACAGCGGAGCGGGATCTGTGGGGAATCACAGCCAGCTCAGTGGTGTGTCCTGCGGCACAGATGGACTAGCTGGTGGCAGAAGGGTGTGAGGATAACCCTGCTGTGCTTGCTGTGACAGAGACGGGCTGTGCCCTGCACAGCTTCAGAGCAAGCTGCCTCATTTTCTCTTTGCCCCACAATTGCCTCTCGTTATGCTCAGATTATCAGATACACGTGGGAAGCATATTTTAGAGTCTATGGTTACTGTAAAGCTTCAAGGAATTCCTTTAAACTGAGAAAGATCTGCTGTCAGGAGGTTACAGCAAAGCGCTGAAAGCGTTACCTGGGAATCCAGCTGTGTTCCTGGCCGTGCGCTTTGTTTGTGTTCTTCCAGGAGGGGGCAGCAGATGAACAACATCAGAGGCTCTTACTTTCCAAACGCTTTTCCAGTGTCCCACTCCGCCTGTGAATCCCAGCAGGGGCTCCATACCTACGGGAGGGTTTAAAATTATAATTCCTACCTGTTTGCTACAAGGACAGCTGGAATGTGTGACTCGGAAGTCTTCATTCTGTTCAGTATTAAGCAGTAGAATTTATTCAGCAAAATCGATCTTGAGTTTATAGAAAGGGCAGTTCAATATTGAGAATTAAGATTTTATGACTATGGCAGTAGGTGTGTATATATTATAAAGGATAAAGTAACCAAGAAACCCAGCCCCATGAGCTTATTAGTTAATGCCACCTAAGTCTTATTTAACATCTTTCAAATAGTTATTTTCTATCAAGTTGCACATTACAATTCAAAATAATGTTCTCATAGCCTTTTTTCTCCCATCAGAAAATAAAACTAAGAATACACTAAATCTAGTGATGCTTTTAATTTGTGTGTGATTAATGTGCTTATGTACATTCTGTGCTTGTGCATTCTGCTGACAGAGCTTGGGAGTTAAAGTCCTCAATTCACAGGCAGTGCTAACGATGCTAAAGAATACAACTAAGTTTTATTGTCTTATTTCAGCCACAAAGTGCAGTTTTATCATCTAAAACTTTATAGAGGTATACCATATTACTGATTGGGAGTATAGTAGGGTATTTTTTAAAACAGTAGGGGAAATGCTGATTATTACCTACCATTGTGAATTTCTTGAAAGTGTGTGGCTGTAATTCTGTTTAAGTTGCAGATCAAGCAGTTAACAAAAAGCTGCAGAGAGACAGCAGTCCCGCCTTTTGAGCTGCTAAGTTTTATGCAGTAGTTTATGTAAAGAAAAGAAAAAACATAGTGGCTTCTGTGAGTATCAGCTGCTATAATCAGTGTGCAGAAGCTAACTGGGAAGAATGAAACTAATTCCTGACAGGACTGATTCGCTCATAGACTTGCCTTGATTATTTTCATTAAAATTGTGTCGTAATGCATGTGGGACCTTTATGGAGCCTAAAACTTTATCAAGTGACTTGTCTTTTTCTTTTCTTTTGTGGTGATTTTTCCTTTTCAAAGATTACAAGTGTTTAAGAGAAGAGGAGGGGATAATCACAAAGATTTATTCAGAATGGCACAACTTGCCTTTCAGAGTTGCCTTTCATCTTAAATCCCACTGTTTAAATCACAGATTTTTCCATATAGGCCCCATGGTTCTCCTGAGGTCACTGATTTAGCAGCTTTTATGCATCAAACACTTCAACTCCCCTGAGTATTTAAGTTCCTTCATGCAAGTTCAGAGCTTTTATTCTTTGAGCAATGTAAGCTTTATTTTTCTAGTGCAGGAAAGATCCACACAAATAACTGAGGATTAAATTCCCTTTTTCCTCTTTCTTGTTTTGAATACTGTTGCATAAAATAACTCTATGATTCAATCTTGCTTTGTATAGTAATTAGCAGGAAGACTTTTGCCAGTAGAAGTCTTGAATATAGTATAAGTTAATTCCATAGTATTCTAAAATACTTCATTTTCTGAGTGTCTGGTCTTGAATTGCTTTCACAAATATGTCATTAAAATAGCTCTGATTTCCTTATAGACTACTTAAAGAATGAGTAATCCTGTTTATTACATCTAATATATGAATGTATTACATGTTTTTGGGAATAATATTTACTCAGCTATTAATTATTTACAGTGTGTTTTGAAAGGACATAGTTTCCTTTTGCTGGAAAGGTCAATAATCTGGATGAATGTGTAAGCACTTTTTAAACCTGCTATAG